CAGGAAGCAGACCTGGGGGACACGGGTTCTGAGGAGTGGCATCTTGGGGTGTCCCTCGGACTTCACTGCACAGCTCTGACCTACTTACTACCATTCAGTTGTGCTTTTTGAAAAATACACTTCAAGGGCCCAGTACAATAGCCTCGTGGGTAAAGTCCTCACCTTGCATGCACCAGGATCCCATATGGGTGCTGCTTCATATCCCTGCTTCCCATCCAGCTCCCTGCTTGTGGCCTGGGAAAGCAGTCAAGGACGGCCCGAAGCCTTGGGACCCTGCACCCGCGTGGGATATGGATCCTGGCTTTGAATCGGCATAGCATCGGCCGTTGCGCTCACTTAAGGAGTGAATCATCGGACGGAAGATCTTTCTCTGTCTCTCCTCCTCTCTGTATATCTGACTTTCCAATAATAAATAAATAAATCTTAAAAAAAAAAAAGCAGTAGAGCAAAAAGGAAAAATGCCCCAATAAGGTACAAGCCCCTCCCACAGGCAGCCAGCATCTTGACAGCCCAGACGATAGAAAAGGCTAGGTCTTCTGACACACTTCTGGGACATGTCCATAACCTTGAATTCTTGGAAAGTTCCAAAAGAGAAGTGAGGGTGCTAATCTCATTCCAGGATGAGATCCAGGCAGTGAGCAGTAAGCTGACTGACCCAAACTGTTCTCTGTAAATTGCAAGGTTCTGCTGTTCCCTAGTAGGTGGGATGTGACTCACTGACTGGATAGTTTAAAGTGCCTGACGCTTAAACTGGGTATCTGCTCCACGCCACCACGGCTGACGGGATCATTTGTGTGGTGCCCTGACGTAACCTGGCCGACTGGGCATGCGCACCACGTGCCAGTGCTCTCGCAGGTGACTGCATGATGACTGCTAAGATCTGAGCACGGCTCGTGGAGCTCCTCTCTTCCACACGTGGCGGGACAGGACCGACTGCCGCCTGAAAACAAAGGCTCTTGGGCTTCTAAGAGCCTGCTCAACTTCTGGGATAGACGCGGTCAGCCTGCAACACAAGGACACCCCTCTGACATCAGCCGTGGAGTGGGGCATCTGATACCCAGGCTGTCCTCTGTCACCAGTCCTGCAGTGGATCAGCCCTCGCTCCTAGGTGCTGGACAGCCAGGCCACTCCTCAGCAGCACACGCCTCATTCCAGTCAACCTGCCAAGCCCCCACCCCGCAGGCACACTGCCTCAACCCCTCACTCCCCTCTGTCCAACCTTCCTTCTAAACCTAGGGGCTTCGCCAACCACAGTTTGTGTGCTACCCAGGATCTGGTCCAGGACTCTGCACCTCTAAGGCCCGAGAACTGCACTGAAATGGCTCGAGAACAAGCCCACAGGACTGAGCTGAGAAAGTCCTATTAAAATAAATCAAGGGCCCGGCGGCATGGCCTAGCGGCTAAAGTCCTCACCTTGAACCCGCCAGAATCCCATATGGGCGCCGGTTCTAATCCCAGCAGCCCCACTTCCCATCCAGCTCCCTGCTTGTGGCCTGGGAAAGCAGTTAAGGACAGCCCAAAGCCTTGGGACCCTGCACCCGTGTAGGATACCAGGAAGAAGTTCCTGGCTCCTGGCTTTGGATTGGCATAGCATCGGCCATTGCGCTCACTGGGGGAGTGAATCATCGAACGGAAGACCTTCCTCTCTGTCTCTCCCCTCCTCTCTGTGTATCTGACTTTTCAATAAATAAAAATAAATCTTTAAAAAAAAAAAAGGACTAAACTGAAACATTGTCACCATTAAATTGCCAACCTCAAATACTAACAGCATCTCATATTGTTAACCAAGTTAATGAATAAAGCCTCCCTGTTTTTCTCTCTAACCCTTCACAAAGATTTGTTGTTTTCACTTGGTAAACTCAAGTCCCATCAGGAAGAAGCTGGACTCGAGCAGCTCCTGCTCTGCTCTGTTTCCTCTGACATCTGACCCTGACAAACTTCATTCTGACACTAAAACTACATCGAACATTTCCCACCAAGAACTTCAAAAAAAAAAAATCAAAGTGCAACAGCAAGTAAGGGACAATCTCTAACATATAAATTAACTTAATAAAAGAATGCAAAGCTAAAATACTGCCGAGGCGTTGTCAAATCTCTGTCACCTTGAGCATCACTCAGGTGGGCGTGATCTCCAGATAGAGGCTCACAGTGGACCATGGCGCAGGTGAACTCCCACAATGTAAGACCCTCCAGACGAAGCACATAACAACATATTTCTCTTCCCAGCAGGCAGATAAACAGCAGGGGCCATCTTACGCCCCATCACGAAGACTGCAACGTCTTCCCGAGTTAGCACGTCCATCTCAGCACAGCACCACAACCCCAGTCGTGGCGACACTGCAGGCACTGCTCCCTGGACCTGTCACAAATGACACCACTGCCGAGGACTAGTCTTCAACCAAGCACCTTTCTGAATGCCATGTCGTCGCCATAACTGGTCATGGAGTTAACACTGTACAAAGTCGTCTTGCATCACTGGACTGCAGAGGGCTACAGACCACCAGCAGCACCAGTGCCCCACCCTCTGCCACCAGCTCCTCTGCCAGGCCCCTCACTCTCCCTTTCCATCCCCAAGGACTAGCACCCTCCCTGCTCCTTGGTGCCACTCTTCCCCCTGCAGGAAGTCAATGTCTTTCTTCTCTCAGTGGTCCCATGTAGCAGGTGGACTCGCCTCTCCTCCACCACCATGCCACGCCCCTTCACCCGGAAGCTTTCACTCCCCTCACAAAGTGTCCACACAGACCTCTTGGCTGGGTTTCAGGATCCCCCACTCGTTCAGGCCCAGTTCTCAGCAGGAAACTTGTGCCTTCCAAAGGTATGTTTGTTTCACACTTCTCTAGTATTTCCTGCCTGTGTGACACATCTCCTACCGTTCCCATACTCACACCACTACTAACTCAAAGCCTTTCACCCTGCAAGTGTCCCCCTGCACGCCCACCTGCCTGGCCTCACTCATTTCTACGAACACGGAGCTCAGCGCAGCTTGCTGTGTGCATCTGACTTGCCCTGGAAACCAGTTCCTTTGCTTTCTGGTATGAGTCTTCCTTGTACAGATCATATATATGTTTAAAAAAATAAGCTAAATAAATAAATAAAATAAGACCTGGTCAGCATTACTGACATTGCTTAGTCTTCCTCTCAACAGCCCTATATACACACATCTTCAGCTGAAGCAATCTCGGAGCTGGCACCGCAGGACAGTGGCTTAAGCCTCTGCTACAGCACCGGTATCGCACACGGATGCTGGTTTGAGCCCTGGCTTCTCCACTTCTGACTCAGCTCCCTGGTCCTACGCCTGGGAAATCAGTAGAAGATGATCCAAGTGCTTGGGACCGCAACCCATGTGGAAGACCCAGGAGGAATTTGAGGCTCGTGGCCTTGAATTGGCCCAGCTCCAGCCCTCGCGGCCACCTGGCGAGTGAACCAGGGGGTGGAAGATTTCTCTGTCTCTCCTCTCTCTGTAACAATGTTTTTCAATAAAAATAAATAAATCTTTAAAAATTAGTGAAGCTATCTCAACTACAGTTCATGAAGTCCCCAAACCTTGACCCATCATCAAATTTCACTAATACTTGTTCTAAATTACAAAATAGGTATTTCTGTCCACTTTACATATGAAAAGAAATGTGAGCATTGAATAGCCTTTAAATTGTAACTCACAAAACAGAAAATCCTTGGGAGACCTCTTGTGGCTGAAATTAAGAATATCCAAAAAATAATGTTTTAAGGTGGACATACTACTATTTCAAGAGAATTGTTCTTCCCATATGGCATTAATATACTATGTCTTCCATAATAATTAAAACTCCATCAATAATTAACAAAAACTGCCATATGATTCAAATTTTGCATGATAAATGAAGAAATGTAAGAGACTTTTTTTAAATAAAAAAAGTGATTTAGCAACATAATTTCACATTTATGAAGAATAAACTGACATCCACACTTGGAAATAATGCCAAAAATGTGTAACAGTGTTAATCTTGGGGCTGCTGGAGTCAACCTACCATCTTTATCTTTCTTTTTTAACTCCAAAATTCTACATGAACATAGCTTAGTGTTTCCCGTTGAAAAACAAATTATAAAAGCTACTTGGAAAGAAGCTAAATTCAAATGAAACTGAGCAGGACAAACAAACAAGGAACTTCGCTCAGTAAGTCAGCTGCTCTTTCTGACTCTAACTGAACTCGAACCTACTATGATGGAAATTCCTCACGTCTTCCCTGCCTGGTCTAAAGGACAAAATGCTCCAGATACATTGTCGTCCACCAAATGCCAAGCCCCTTGCCAGTCCCCGTGCCACACGCTCCTGCAGACGGGAGCCAAGTGCCATCCCCACTGGGCATTCGACACACTGTGCCCAAGTCCTGTGAGGCGCTGGCCGCTCCTGCTGCACTATGACCTCGGCCATATACGCTGCACCCTGTCTGCCACAGGGCCTGGCACACTGCTTCACAAGCACAGGGCACGCGCTCAGGGCTGCCAAGGCAGAAGCACTGCTCTGAAACCTGAACCATCTCTCACGCGTGACACACAAACTCTCTAAGTACCAAACAGCAGCAAAACCCCTTTAAAAGACTGACTTCTGGGGCACACATCTGGCACAGCCACTGAGACACTGCCTGGAATGCATACACCCCATAACGGAGACCCAGAATTCGGTTTCTGGCTCTGTTTCAAAACCAGCTTCTTGCTAATGCACAGCCTGGGATGCGGCGGGTGACAGTTCAATGCGTGGGGATCCAGATGAGCTGAGGCTCCTGGCCTCTGCCTGGCCAAGCCCTGCTGATGCAGACATCTGAGAGGGGAAGGAGCATTCTCTCTCCTCTGCCATTCAAAAAGAAAAAAAAAAAATAGACAAAGACTGCTGAAGTCTTACCTCAAGGTGACCTGATGGGTAGTTTTGCTTTTTTTTTTTTAATTCTCCACCTCAGCTCAAAATACCACAGAGAGATTGGGAACTGAACGGAGCCCGGGACTGGCCCCAAGGGGCCCCGTACCTGCCGGCCGTGGCTCTGCGAAGGAGGCGCTCGGTCTGCTCGGACAGGCGGGAAGGCAGCAGCAGCTCCACGGGCTGCAGGGCCGCGAGCCGCGTCTCCAGCTCCGAGCGGGAAGCACAGTCCTGGAAGCTGTCGAACACCACCTCGCCTGTGGAGGGCTGCACCCCCTGAAAGTAAAGACAAACGTGAGCTCTCAGCGAACACACAGCCTTACCAGACACAGCCACGACACGGCACAAACGGCCAGCGAGGGGGCAGGAGGCTCTCCCCAGGCCGCGCTCCACCGTTCGAGCTCCTGCCGGCTCTCCAGACTCCCTTCCACTGAGCACAGACTGCTGGCCCTGAGCAAGACTCGAGGCTGATGCCCCTGTCAGAGTGACAGTGACAGTCACTAAGCCTACTGGGCTTCAGCATCTCCCTCCACACATGGGAATAAACCAGCCTGCTTCACTCTCAGCATTCTTACAAAGGAACCAATCAGAAACCAAACATACAAACGTGCTCAAAGTGATAGAGCACTGCTCAAGTCACTAACTGTGACAAAGGATTTTGTTTGTCACGACAAAGTACCATTTTCCTATACATCCCTTCCTCCAAATCCACGCGTGACAATCCCACAACCATTCATGTCTCACCTCCTACCTGGGGAGGAAATACATAAAACCCTTGGCTACCCAGACCACAGGCAGGTCTGCCACTGTTGACCTTCAACCCCCAAATCCTAGGACATAGGGACCAGAACGCGGATCTCTCCAACAGTGTGCAGCACCGACCCGGGCAGTGCCAACTCGCTCCTGGGCCTGCCATGCTCTCAGGACAAAGCACACTCATCGGACACCCTCGCTACTCCTGCACGCTCACTCACACTTCACTGCAACGGACCTGCCACAGGGCCTGCCCGATGGCTCAGTGCCTAAATCCCTTCCCATCCAGCTCCCTGCCTGTGGCCTGGGAGGGCAGTGGAGGACGGCCCAAAGCCTCAGGGCCCTGCATCCATGTGGGAGACTCGGAAGAAGCTCCTGGCTCCTGACTCTGGAACAGCTCAACTCCAACCACTGTGGCCACTTGGGGAGTGAACCAGCATATGGAGGATCTTTCTCTTTGTCTCTCCTTCCCTCTGTAAATCTTATCTGCCTTTGCAATGAAAATAAATAAATCTTTTTAAAAAAGTACGTACCACGATGCCAATGCCAATGCTGCCCTTTCTTTTGTCCTTAGCACTTTCCTTGTTTTCACAGATGCACAGGAGATAGTCGGAAGCAGCGTCAGCCGTGACCTCGCCCACATGCACAGCATCATCCAGTTTGATCAGAGGATTCACATGTAACAGTGATTAAAGAAAACCACACCAAGTGCCCACTGTAACATATTAACTGCTTCTCCTCTAAAACAATGACTCGTGCAGGTCTGGAATCGCCTCAGACGAGGTCTCTTTGGGGATCCCCTCGACTGAACCTCTGGACTCAGAACTCTATGGTCAGAATGTGGAGTGCCTGTGTCAGAACTAGGCCTCCTTAGGTACCGAAGACAGGGCAGCAGCTGGCACGCCCAGATGCACGTGGAGGATACGGTAGTCCATGGGGCCTGCAGAGGACACCTGGTACCACAGCAGAGGAAGGAGGGCAGAACAAACTGGTCAACTACTCCAGCCAAGCGTTGACAGCAAATATCTGGGTGAACGGAGACTCTAGGTGGACTATATCAGTCAGTGGGCCTTAGGAGGATTTCCTCATCCTTGGATCGGTGAGACCAACAGCATTTCAGAACTACTGAAACCACTTGAGCAGAACCCTCGTAGCATGCAGCACCTCAGGGACCCTGCGATGACATCGGGTCGCCATTCCCCACCCCCAGTGCTGAGGTGGTTGAGACTGGGTGCAGCTTCTCTCCTTTCATCCCCCTTTCCTCCAGACACAGCAAGAAGAAAAAGAAAATTTGGAAACAGTGGTCTCACCCACTTTTCCTAACCCTTGATCCTTCCCACCCTGATCAACAATGTAAACATCATCAAAAATAAAAATTAAAAAAATAATAACGACTCATGGGGCAAGGTTTGGTGCAATGGCTGCCCTACACATGAGGTGCCCACATCCCATTCTGCAGTGTCCGGGTACAAGTGGTACAAGTCCTGACTCTAGTCAGCCAGGCTCGAGCACCTGGCTCATAGCACCCATGGGAGACAGGGAATGAGTTCCCAGCTGGAGGCTTTCGCCTGTTCCACCCCAGCCACTCTGTAAACATTTGGGAAAGGAAGCAGTGGAGGTTTGCTCTCTCTTCCTCTGCCTTTTAAATAATCTTTTTAATTTAAATCGATTCTATATAAATAAATAAAAGTTCACTCTTTCAGGGACCTCTGCTCTTTGCAAAAGTCTTCAATACAGTATGCCTTCTTCAGATATCCCTGGGCTGTTGTCACATGCCTTCTCTTCCCAAAGATACGGATTCATGAGATCAGGGAACCACACTTACAGAGTGAAAAGGATGCAACAGGCTGGACACCCCACTGTTAACCCACTCCCCCACCCCTACATGCTAAACAACCTCATCTATCTAATTCCCAGGTCAGAGCAGACACACACTAAACTTCCTCCAAGAGTGTTGAAAGTGCACAGAAACAGCGGCAGAATTTTTAAAAGAATGAAAACCAGGAACATGCATTAGACTGCCAGCTTGCATGGCTGGGCACGTGCACATGTGTGTCAAGTCAGTCTATTAACCTGCTCGGGGAGAGAACCAATGGACAGATCTTCCTCTCTGTTTCTCCTGCTCCTGTATATCTGCCTTCAATAAAAATAAAGAAATCCTTTAAAAATCAATCGATCAATAAATAAAACTGTCATCCTAAAGCAAAGCCCTCCAAACCTTGAAGAGAAACGCGGCTGCTGAGCAAGGATATCTTCCCCAATGAGCGTGGACTTGGTATACAGCGCGGTAAGCTTCCGGTTGAACACGGAGCCCCTGGTGTCCCCGACGGCCTTCAAGGCTGCCGTCTCAGTCTGCTTCACCACGCCCACCTTCAACGAAAACAAGGCATCAGACACCACACACCATCAAAGATGAACTAACCTCAAAATGCTTAAAGGCTAACTCGGCAACAGATGCGATCAGTGACTCAGTCCCGATGTCTGGATGTGGGGTTGAAGCTCTGAGCCCCGCGGGAGCCGGCAGCGCAGCAACATCACTAAGGAACCCTCTGGCACAAACGGCCGCCTGAACCGCCCAGCAGGACACTGAACACTCACAGTGACCAACTATCATGAGGCACTGAACATCGCCAAAATACCAACTTCGTTCTTTCGGGGATTTATTTGTTTTTTTGAAAGGTGGTGTCACAGAGAAAGACCCAAAAAAAAAAAAAAAAAACAAAAAAAGGGAAAGACAGAGATGTTCCATCTGCTGGTTCACTCCCCAAATGGTTTCAATGGCCAAAGCTGGGTCAATCTGAGGTTGGGTGCTGAGCCGCTTCCATGTCGCCCACATGGATGCAGGGCCCATGCTGCCTTCCCAGGCATATTAGCATGGAGGCAAGTCAGAAGTGAAACAGCCAGAACTCAAACCAATGCCCAGAGGAGGTAGCGGCTTTACCTACTATGCCACAATGCCACCTCTGCAAAATATCAACTTCTAAGACCCAAACACCCAGCCAGAGGGAATGCCCCATGCCCACAAGGTGAAGCCAAGACTGACCTTGTAGCCTTTGGCCACGAGGCGGCGCACGTGAACAAACAGCCTGTGAGTGGGTATGCTAGCCGTCTGGAAGTTGTGATCCAAATGGCAATAAATATTCAGCTCTCGAGCTGCAATCTAAAAAAACATTCAAAGGCACAGTGTTAATACACCAATTTTTATTCCAAGAGCCCCTGTGTAGGGTTTGTTACTCTGCTCGAAATTCCAGGTATGTATTCAGGATTTGTGTACCTCTCCTAGCGGTGCAGTATATTCCCAGCATGGAAGCCTGCGGTTGGATCTATTTGGAGCAGGACTCAAGGCCGTGTCTGAATTTACACATGACTCACGAACACGCCGGGTCCTGCTCTGTGGCCTCAGAGCTCCCAAAACCTGCCAGTGCTGAGCTGTGCCCACACAGCCACTGAGTCCAACAAGTCTGACGCTGTGACGTACTAACAACTGGCCCTTCCATCAGCCTGCAGACACCACAGCTGGAGCACTCCCATGGCAGTAGGGACTTGAGGACAGACGAGAAGCCACGTCCGGTTAGCTGACTGACAAGAAAACAGAAATGCCAAGCCAGCACCTGACGCCCCACCTTTTTCTAGAAAGAACCACGACCACAGCTTCCATACCACCCGGCAGAGCTGCCAAGGAACTCCTACCCCAACTCTGAGCTGTGCCAGTCCCTCCCCAAGGGCAGGAAAACACCTGCCAGGACCGAGGTCGGGCCTGACGAGAGCACCGAGCCACTGGGGCAGTTTCTCTCCTCCCCGACCTATCAGCTACGTACCCTGCTTTTAGCTGCACGGTGGGTGACACGCTCTCCAACTCAACTTTCCCAGCAGCGTGCAGTGCAGGGTAACTGACTTAGAGCGCCCCTTTTCCTGCCAGGTCAAGAGAGCTGAATGGGGTCGGAGAGACAGCTGGCCGAGCCTTCACTCCCCAGCCACGCGGCAGCCCGGCCTATGGCTGGGAACCAGCACCACCCGCGCCCTCCAATCACGCATCCTCGGGCGGACTCCCCGGGCCGGCCCATTAAAGGCTAGGGTTCACCAGCAACTTCCTGATGCAGGCCTCCCGCAGGCCTGATAATCAAACACAAAGCCAACCAAGACAACACCCCCAGGTCAGGGACACCCCACGCCCTTGAACCTCCCAACACCCCCAGATCAGGGACACCCCACGCCCTTGAACCTCCCAACACCCCCAGGTCAGAGACACCCCGCGCCCTTGAACCTCCCAACACCCGTGGCTGGGCGCTGGCAGTTAACACGCCCTTCCGTCGGGACTCGGTTTTCTTCCTGGCTGTGAAGTCACCCATGAGGGTACACTGGGCAGCGTTGTCTGTACAGCCGGGCACTTTTCTCTCGCTTCGTCTGAAAACACACTTCCCTGACATGCTTCAGCCACCAAACTGATTGACCCGCTGAGCTTCAGGTCGATCAAATGCACTGGCCTAGCACGGTGAGCAAGGACAAACACCCCAACAGGGACCCCAAGTCTGTTTGTGTTTTGGTTTTCACTTTAAGGAGCAGGATTTTTAAAGGGTGGCTGGTCAAATCAGTTTTTTCTTAAAGTTAGAAAATCAAACAAAAATGCCGGAAAACACAAGAGGCTGACACACAGCTACTCGCCTCGGCGTCCTCCCCGAAGAAGCGGTACTTGTAGCCGCACTCCACGCACAGAACGGCGTCCCGGTGCTGCCGCTTCAGCTCCAGGTACTGCAGCTCCAGCGGCGTGTACACGCTCTTGCTCCGCTTGTTCGCCGGCGTGGCCCCGCCGGGCTTCTGCGCGTCCCCGTGGCTAACACGTGACGAGCCAAGTGCACTGAGCTCAGAAAGGGTCTCGTCCTGCAGCCAACACACAGCGTTTCAGCATCTCCAGCGATGACAGCACCAAAACCTCCCCCAGCCAAGTTCAGAAAGCACAGCCCGGAGTGACTCCAGGGAAACCAAGCACAGCACAGTGGCCTCCGCCACCCTGGGTACAAAACACCTGTCAGGGCGGCATGGTGGCACAGCAAAATAAGCTGCGACTGCTGACACTGGCACTGTCAGTGCTGGCTGAAAGTCTGGCGGCTCTGCTTCCAACCCAACTCGCTGCTAAGTGCCTGGGAAACCAGTGAAGGCTGGCCCAATGCCTGGGTCCCCGCCATCACGAGCAGAACCTGGAAGCAGTGCTGGGCTCCTGTCTTCAGCCTGGACCACTGTGGCCATGTGGCAAGCTAGACAGTAGACAGAAGAGTCTCATCTCTTTACTCTCTTTCCCCCTTTCTGTATCACCTGCCGTTCAAATGAGCAGGTGCACCCTTCAGTACATAAACGCGTAGAAGGCCGCCCGCACACGCAGCTCCGCACCTGGTGGCCGGCCGGAGAGCAGGGGTCGCCCGCAGCAGCCGCGTGCTTGGCCCGCAGCAGGCTGATGTCCTCGTAGTCGGTGCACTTGGCCAGCACCGCCAGCCTCTCCCCAGGCGGCTCGGTCAGGGCTCGGGCTGGAGGGGGCGGCGCCGAGTCACAGCAGAACTGCCTCAGTTTCTCCAGAGACTTCAACACCAGCCCGGCCCTCGGGCACTTTCTCAGCTCTTAGGAAGGAACACAAGTCGGAAGAAAGCATGACAACAGCACGCGGGTTTCCCCTTGCTCCTCACCCGGCAGAGCTCTCCAGAGGCGGGCTACCGCAGGGATGGCACCCCGACAACCTGCCGCCTCCCCCTCCCCCCAGTGCCACCCCGACAACTAACCAAGGTTCTAACCCGAGGCACCCCTCTCCGTTCGCCCGATTTCTACCAGCTTCCATATAGCTGGTGCCGTGGGCGGGAGCTACCCAACGGAGACAGCCTGGGCGCTGCCGCCCACCGCTTCCTCCACACGAGGATGACCAGAGCTCGTGGGAACAATAAATGAGCCACACAAACCGCCCTGGAACAGAACAAGCCTTCAAAAGAAAAAACTAGTGGGTGCTGGTGCTCGCAGAATTACTGGAAAACCAAACAGATCAAAGCTGTGAGACTAAAGAAGCCAGGGAAGGCGGACAGCGCAGCGCGGCCAGGTCGGCCCAGACGCGGCTCTGCAGACTTAATCCCCCGTAGCCGTATAAACGGGGGCTTCAGAAGTCTGTCGGAAAAGTGAATCAAAAGCAACTTCCTGTGGCACCCCACCCGCGCTCCTTCCACGCAGGACGGACGTGGGGCATAGCCTCTGCCGCACAGAGGGCCGCTCCTGAGCGCAGGGTTGCATCACCTCATTTCCTAGGGGCACCGAGGCCAAAAAGCGAGACACGCCTGCTCATCACCGGCACCCGAGCCCTCCCTCGGCTCAGGCTGCTGGCTTCATCAGCGCCGTGCTTTGTGCAACACGCCTGCTACCTGGGAAAGGGTAGCAAATGACCACACAAAATGCCATCTGTAAAATGATTACAAACAAGCCAGCTGAGCTCTGTGTGTGTATGAACACAGGGCACCCCGAAAGCGGGCAGCAGGCGCCTCTGCAAAGGCGGGGAGAAAGTCTGTCGCGTCTTGCAAATGCCTGTCCTGTTGGAAATGTCCCAAGGAGAATCCTTAACTTGAGAAGCGGGCAAAAGTAACCAGAGAGAATAAAGGGCGGGGATGGGGGCGTGACGGGCCGCTCCCACCTCTTAGCCCTGCTTCCACACGACACCAGCAGCCCTGGCCTCTGGGCGCCCCACCACTCACCCGGGCTGCCGGGCAGAGCTGAGCCACCTGCTCCCTCCTGGTCTCCCACCGGCCGCGCTTTCTTTCTGGCCGGCCCGTCCTGCTGCAGGGACCTCCTCCTCCTGCCGGCCTCCGCGTCCTGCACCGGGGAGCAGGGAAGAAGCTGTGTCATCTCTGCTCTAGGCAGGCTTGCTCACGGCCGTGAGGTCACTTCAACCTGACCTGGGGACACAGCCACCCGCTGGCCACTCCGAGCAGAACCACACAACTGAAATCTTTCCCCTTGCACGCAGGACACCAAGAGCAATTAAGTTCAAAGCCACTCGTGCCAAGGGAAAGCCAGACTGGAAGGACATCACGCAGGAGACGCTGTCAGGGTCACTGAACTGCTTCAGATGCCACAAGAGTCTGCTATGTGTTGCTGGCAGGAAACTCGCCAAAAAGACAAACTAATTAAAACGGACTTAAAATTTTCACCCAATGGTGTGTACAAAAAGACGGCTGAGGTGAACCCAGGAAGGCGTTCCACCACTAAAAACATAAGGGCTGAAAAGGGGCGCTCGGTTTAGGACAGATACAGAAACGGGGGGTCCAGGGCACGGGGGTGCGCGCCCCACCAGGGGAAGAACAACCGACGGAAGGCGGCAAGCCGCGGGCCCCCGACCGCAGCGCACCTCTCCCGCGCCCAGAGGCCCAGGAAACACCTCAGGCCCGCGGCCGGCGGTGCGGCGTCGGAAACAACGCGCGACGCCTTCCACACCGGCACCCTCAGGGCGGCCGCCTCGAGGACCGCAGGCCCCGCCTCCCCGGCGAGCCGGCGAGGAGCCCCGGACGGCTCGGGCACCCGCACCGCACCGCACCGCGCGGCCGCCCAGGAAGCCACCACTTCCCCCAGAGCTACGGCGGCCGCGCGCCACCAGCGGAAGCCCCGCCCCAAGCCGGCCTTCCCGCGACAAGCGCAAGCCCCGCCCCCGCGGCGTGGCCCCGCCCCCGGAGCCGACTCACCGTGCGCGGCGAAGCGGTGGACGCTGGGGGCGCTGCGGAGCCGCGGCTCGCCATGTCGCCTGGGCCCGCCGGGGACGAGGTGGACCTGAGGCTCTCCTTAGCCCGGAAGAACCGGCTCAGCACCGCTTGCCTGCCCGGCGCTGGGCGGGCGGCGGCACCGAGGCCGCCCGGTGCAGACTTCCCGCGGGGCATCGCAATGCAGGGAACTGGGGCTGCGCGAGCACGAGCGCGCGGCCGCAGCTCCGGGCGTGCGCGGGCACGCGAGCTGGCCTGCCGGGGGCGGGGCTAGGGCCGGGGGCGGGGCCTCGCTGCTGCATGGGGGCGGGGCGGCCGCGGGTTTGTGCCAATAGGGCCGAGGAGGCGGGGCCGGGGTGGGGCCTCTGCGCCCGAGGGGCCGGGGCGGGGCCACGCCGCGCCAATGGGGCCCAGGGGGCGCGGCGGCCGCGGGTTCGCGCCACGCTGCGTCCGGTTCCCGGGCTGGGGCGTCCGCCGCTGCTGCCGTCATGGTTCGCCCGCTCAACTGCATCGTCGCTGTGTCCCAGAACATGGGCATCGGCAGGAACGGGGACCTGCCCTGGCCCCCGCTCAGGTACCGGCCGGCCCGGGCTGGAGGAAGCGGCGGGTGCGGAGGTGGGATCCGACCCCGTGACTCGGGGAGAGGGGGCGCCCAGCGGCTGGAGAACACGCAGGGCGCGCGGCCCGGCCGGACTGCGCGGGCAGCGCCGGCCCCGGGACGAGGTCCCAGCCCTTGCAGGTGTCACACGCATCCCGCCTGGCTCAGCGTTTGCTGGAGCCCCACCGGTACTGTCCTGAGTTAACGTCGCGTTTCTCTGGTTTGTAGGAATGAGTTCAAGTATTTCCAGAGAATGACCACAACGTCCACGGTGGAAGGTAACGTGCGATTTTTAAAGTGACTGAGATCTGTGTAGGGTCCTGCCCGAACCGAACCGGACTTGGAAAGTTGGTCAACTTGGTGCCAGATCTGTTCTCTTAGACGCTAGAGCTGGGCACAGCTCCCGAGGTTGCTTATGCGGCTTTGTGTGGCTTCCCAGGCACGTGGCAGGCAGCCAGGCTCTGTGTGGCATTCCGGCGTGGGGTGCCAGTGTTGGAAGTAGCAGCTTAGCACGCTGTTCCACAGCACTTGACTCTGGAATTTAAAAACGACTGGCAGGCATCAGGAGAAGGTACGGTGGTATTTGCCCTGACTTGGAGGATTGCAGAGAGAAAAGGATATCCTGTTCATAGGCCAGCTGCTCCACTTGCAGTCCAGCTCCCTGCTCACGGCGTGGGAGAGTCCTGGCCACTGCACCCATGTGGGAGACCCAGGTGGAGCTCCTGGCTGTTGCCAGCAGTGTGAGCCAGCAGATGGGAGAGCTCTCTCCCTGTCTATAACGCTGATTTTCAACTAACTAGATAAGTCTTTTTAAAATAATAATCATAAAACAGGAAAGTAAACAACCTCAGAGTAGAGTGATACAGTGTTTCAGCAAGAGAAGGATCTTTAGGGTCCTGAGGCAGAGTAAACTGCAGCAGTGAGGCGGAAGGAGCAGAGAGCCTCACTCGACCAGGATGGACACCAGGCCCTTGGACTTGGCGGTTGGTAGACAAGATGGCAGGAGCCCAAAGCAGAAGAATTGACCCAAACGCCACAGGAGTCCTAAGAGCGGCCTTTGTGTGTTAACATACCTTTGATCCAAGTTTTTTTTTTTTTTGACTGCTATTTATTTGTATTTACCTGAAAGGCAGACAGAGAGGGAGGAGGATCTTTTCTCTGCTGATTTACCCCCCAAGTGAGTGCAGGAGCTGGCTCTAGACCCTGGGGTGAAACCAGGAGCCTGGGAGTTCACCCAGGTCTCTCACGTGAGTGGCTGGCATGCAAGTACTTGAGCCAGCTGAGCCATCACTGCCGGGTGCACGCTGGGGAGCTGGCTCGCAGGCAGAGCGGGGCTGGGACTACAGGTGTCCTCGCTGGCGTCACGACCCTCGCACCAGGTGTCTGCCCCAGATCCAGGTACCTGACTCTTGAGGACTTTCCTCCTCAGTAACAGAACCGAAACTGCAAGTTCTGTATGTGTGAAATTTTAACAGTGGAGGCACCAATGAACATATCTTCAAGTTACATGTCTCTAAAAAGTTACAGAGAGGGAAGGAGAGACAGAATCTTTCACCTGCTGGTTCACTGCTCTAGTGGCCACAATGACCAGAGCTAGGCCAGACTGGAGCCAGGAGCTTCTTCCAGGCCTCCTGTGTGAACGGGAGGAGCCCCGCACGTGGACCGTCCTCCACTGCTCCTCCCAGGCCATCAGCAGGGGGCTGGATGGAAAGCAGAGCATCTGGGACATGAACATGTGCCCATCCTGGATACTGGCTCACAAGGGGCAGCTTTGTGCATTTCACCACCACACCAGCCCGGGGTGGGTGTTTGGCCCCATGAGCCCACCTGCCTCATTGGAAACCTCACTGTACATGTGTTTACAGATTCCTGCCAGCGTAGGCCCCAGGAGGTGGCTCTAATGGCTGTAGTAACTGGGTTGCTGTCATCCCCCTGGGAGAGCCAGACAGGGCTTCCAGCTTCAGCCCCACCAGGGGTCACTGCAGACAGATCACCACTTACTGTCGCTGTGACAGCCCATCAGTGGGTATTGCATGTGGCTCGGTGAGGCTGCGGGCCATTCCCTAAACAAGCTTCTCCTTTGCACCTGACTCGGCAGGTAAACAGAACCTGGTGATCATGGGTCGGAAGACCTGGTTCTCCATCCCCGAGAAGAATCGGCCTCTGAAGGACAGAATCAACATCGTGCTCAGCAGAGAACTCAAGTAAGTCCCGTGAGCCCACTAGGAGAACAGCGCGTCCCGCTGCTTTCAGGAGGCGGGGAGAGGACAGGGTGACGGTGGAAAGGAGGCTGCTTGGTGGCACTCAGGTGATTGCGGAAGTGAACAGGCAGTTCGGCGTGACCACTAACTCAGCTGCCCAAGTGATTCCTTGCTTTTATCACCATCAGTTCCCACTGAACTGCGTCAAGTCTCACTACACTAACAGGCTTGCAGACTTCCAGCCTAAGTTGTACAATGCAACCATTACATTTTTTCTGGCTTCCAATCATTCCCACCACATTTCAGGACTCATCCCAGCATGAGCTGGGATGGGCAGACCAGACTAAGCAGGGCTACAACACCTGTACGCCTCATGTGGACTAGATCAGGGAAAAGCCAGACTGGACTGATTATTCCTACTGGTGCAAACAAAATTAGAGTGGGTGAGGGTTGTTTGGGCTTAGCCATAGCATCAGCTGGCAGAAGCTGTCACTGGGGGCTAGTTCTGTTAAGTCAAACCACAGAACTATCTGGAGAGTACATAATCTGGGAGGGAAATAGTGGGCTCCTCCCTCTTGGGTTACCACCTCTATGGGAGGGCACGAAAACTAGGACAGGGGCTGGGGTGGAATGGGGGGCAGGACAGACTGGATTACTGCTACACATATTGGCAAACCAGGGTAGGGGGCAGGCCTGGTGGGGGTTATTGTGGGTTGCTCCAACTAGGCTATAGTTCCCACTTGTTTATGCGAGGGCCGAGAATGTGCTGGACAGCACCAGGCTGGACTGCAACACCCATTGGTTCCAGTGGAAGTCGGGGCTGAAAACAGAACCAACCCAGCAATTGCAACCACCAGCTGATCAGGGCCATGGACTGAGCTGGGCCCTGTACCTGCTAGTACATACAAGAATCTGGTCCAAGAACACCTCAGACAGAGTTTCTTTGGAGATCTCCCCAATCAAAATGCTGGACTCAGAACCCTAACCAAGAAAAGAGAGAAGACAGAACAGGTCAATCAACCATCTCAGCCATATGTTGGCAGCGAAATACAGGGCAAACAGAGATTCTATGATGGACTATGTCAATCAGTGGATTCTTCAAAGACCTCATAGTGCTTGGAGTGGCAAGATTGTCAGCAATTTATAACTGGTGAACTATCAAAACCAAGTGTGCACAGATGTTCATGCCCCAGGGGCGGGGGGTCCCTCACACCTGTGTTTCTCCACACACAGTTTCTGCAGGCTTGTTCCCCAGCACAGCTGTCAGAGTGGTCACTTGTGGTTTTGTTTTGGGTGCATTCGGAACCATGGTGCTGGTGGACCTGCAGGTCACCGGCCACCTGGGAAGTGCCTCGTGCCGAAAGGAATTTTCACAGTCTTTATGATTATGGGACCATCACTTATTCCTCTCCACAGCATGTGAATAGAATGGATGAATTGAAAAAAATACAAACCTATGTGCCGCTTTTTGTCACGTCAGGGAACCTCCACCAGGAGCTCATTTCCTTGCAAAGAGTCTGGATGATGCCTTAAAACTCATTGAGGAGCCAGAGTTGGCGGAGAAAGTGGATATGATCTGGATTGTGGGCGGCAGCTCTGTTTACAAAGTAAGTACAGTGGGTTCTACCCTTCCATCCTCCAGTTCCCTGAGAAGGCAAGGTGCACAGGACCCAACACAACGCAGCCCCTGGGCCATTCGGGTACCCAGAGACCCAGCACAACAGCACCACCCGGCCCCTGGGCTGTCCGGGTGCACAAGACCCAGCACGACACAGCCCCTGGGCCATTCGGGTGCACAGGGCGCAGCACAATGCAGCCCCTCGACCATTCAGGTACCCAGAGACCCAGCACGACCCAACCCTTAGGCCATCCAACAGTTAGACCTGGAGCCGAGGAAGCAGCACGGTCAGTTCCTCATCATTTGATACTAACAGGCACCTAAAGTCTGTCCTGGGTCACCCCAGATGTTTCTCATCTCTCCACGTGGGGAAAGTTCAGAGCCTCTCTGCTCAGTGTTGTAAAACATGTAGCCAGCTTTTGCAGACGGTGGTCGTCCCACCATGCTGTGGGGCATGAGAAGTTACTCCCCCCCAGGGAGCCTCCCCCTCCTCCCCCAGCACACCCCGGCCAGGAGCTGGTACCACCCCCCTCCTGCCCCATGCTGAGATAACATGGCAGGCTGCACAGGTGGCTGAGGAAGCACAGTGACGTGTTCTAGAATGTGCACATCGCAGAGCAGCAATGTTCAAGAACACGAACATTGTTGCTCTCTGTAGTGGCCTTTATGTCCTTTTATGTCCTTTCGGGTCTCCCCTGTGAGGACCATCCTCACTGCTTTCCCAGGTGTGTTAGAGAGAGACAAATCAGAAGTGGAGCAGCTAGGACACAAACCAGTGCCCATATGCAGTGCTGGCACCACTGCTGGAGAATTAGCTGGCTAGGCCATCATGCCGCATCCTCCACGGTTTATTTTCAGTCCATTGTTGTAGAGGTTTCCAATTTTAAATCCATTCTGGATCCTTCTGTGAGAGTCAGACTTGCACAGCACTGCAAAAAGGGTCATATGATTTCATGGCTTAAAGACAGAACTAGAGAAATAGTGCTTAAAAGACAAAAAATAGCCCTTTTTGTGATACCAGATGACTTGCAGGTTTAAAATGCAAGGGTAGTTTTGTTTTGCTTTGCTTTGTTTTTTATTTTGTTCAATCTTTTTAAACCCTAAAGAAAGGCGAGCTTTGGGCCGGCGTTAAGGTGTAGCAGATAGCAACCGCAGCGTCCCATTTAGGTGCAGCTGAAGACGGGCTCATTGTTTGGGCTCTGCCACGCAGCGGGGACCTGGAAGAGGCTCCTGGCTCCTGGCTGCGGCCCAGCCCAGCTGCTGCAGGAGCCTGGGGAGAGCACAGTATGCCTGCATTTTGACTGTGAGCCTTCATGTGAGGGCAGGTGTGGGGTTTTCCACTGCAGGTGTCCCGCTGGCACTCTGGTTTCTGGTTTTAGAGCCTTTGGACTCTCAGGTTAAGGACTATTGACTTGGCCGCCTGCTGTCCAGATGTGCACATGCGCCACTGTCCTTGAGAGCAGCTGGATAACCTGGGACCGCCACTGAACACGAAGAGGGGGCTGGAAGCAAACTAGAGGTCGCACCATACTTAAAGCCATCTCCTGGTTACTGGAAATGGTTACTGCCCGACGTGGTGGGCTAGGGTGCTGCAGCCCTGTCCTTGGGCAGTAGCAAGCTAGCTCACCTGGTCCATTAGCACAGGTGCCTGGAGAGGTTCTGTCTGTGGGCCCCTGGGAAAGAAGCCGACACGGTTTGTTTTGTGTTTCAGGAAGCCATGGATAAGCCAGGCCATCTCAGGCTGTTTGTGACAAGGATCATGCAGGAATTTGAAAGCGACACGTTTTTCCCAGAAATCGATTTGGAGAAATATAAACTGCTCCCAGAGTGAGTAGAAAACTTGTTATCCCAAAGCACCGGGGGAGTTGATGGGCTTGGTGGACAGGTGCCACGCGTGTTCCAGACCCTCGGACTGGGAATGTTCAAGTCGCAGGGGCTGCACTGGAATCGAGAAGAGCAGGCATGAGCCCTTCCTCTTGGCTTCAATCTGCAAGAATCCCCATTTCATAGGGACCCTGGTCAACATTCATGTTAAACTGCTTTCCCATATGGTGATTTTTATACATTCCCGCCCACGGAGAAGGAAGGTGGCTGGATGTGTAAGATTCGTCAGGCGTGTGATTTTGACTATATTCTGTTGTCTTGACTGGCTTATTACCATCTTAATGATATCGTTTGTCACACAGGCATTTTTAATTGATGTGATTCTTTTTTTCATCCTGCCTAAGAAACTGTCGCCTACCCCTGGCTCCCGAAGATTCGGTCCTCTGACTTGTCATACACATTCCTAGTTTAAGTTTTCCTGTGTAAGTCTGCGGCGTGCAGAGCTGATTTACATTTGCTGTGCGGGAGGGGTCCAGCTTTGTTCTTCTGCAGGCCTGGATCCAGTTGTCCTGGTACTGCTTGTTGGAAAGACTGGTTTTGCTCCCACTGAACTGTCTTGACTTCCTGTTGGAAACCCCCTGAGCCTGAACGTTGAGGCTTTGCTTCTGGACGCCCAGTTCTTTTGCACTACGCTCTGTGTGGTTCTTAAGCCAGTGCCACACTAGCTGCAAGTCTTCCAGCTTTGTATGACTGTTTTGGCTATCTTGGGTCTTCCAGCGCTTCTTGTGAATTTAACAATCAGATGTCCATCACTCTTGTCCCAAAAGCAAGCTGAGGTTTGGGTGTGGGCTGTCAGATTTGTAGAGGAGGGGAGGAGTTCTGTCCCCACAGCCCCGGTGCTCAGTCAGCACTGCTTGAGTCTCTTTCAGTCACATCTCGCGGGCTTTCAGAGTGCAGCCTAATGCTCCCTTGAGAAATTGACTCACAAGTGTCCTGTTGCCTGCTTGGTCGCCTCGTTGGACGCTGGTGGTAGAAGCGCCATTGCTTCCTGGTTTGATCTGCAGCTCGGCTCTGTTATTATATTTCCCAGGGCTTCCTGTGCCCGTCATATGCAGGCAGCCCAGTGTTTCCATCCTCCAAGTTGGAGTGCATTTCCCAGGGCTTCCTGCCTGTCCCGGCTGTGGACTCCTGGCGCCCCTGTTTGCCCAGTCCTGTGGCCTTGCCCGGCTGTTCTGCTCCTCCGGGAGTGCTGGTCCTGCAGGGTCAGCATATCCGATCTCCCGTGGTTTCCCAGCCCTGCCTTGGCACCTCTGCGCCATCCCCTCCATCTTTCTGAACTCGGTTCTTGGGCTCATTCCTACTGGTGGGCTTCCCCAAAGCTGGAAGGTTCTAGAAGGGCCTCCTCATCTGGGCAGTCCTCAGCAAGTGGGTGGTGTTTCCAGATCCTGTTGATGAGAGTTCCAAGTCCAAGTGTGGCTCTCAGACTGTGCTTTAGAACAGAGTTCACAGTGGTTATTATGAGGTGATGTCATCAGTTAAAGCAGTCTGAATATGGGTGTTCTGGGGAGAAAATGAGATTTAAGCAGAATTAAATTTTCTCCAGCAGACTCACTCCTGAGTGTTCAGGGAAGGGAAATGAAATCCAGGTGTTAGCAACACCTGTGCTTCTGAGTGCGCCACAGCACACAGCAGCTCAGACACACAACCTGTGGGTCCATCCACTGACGGGCAGCCAAGGAAAAGCCAGTGCGTGTGTAGGCACCGTGGAATACTGCTCAGCCATGAAAAGGATGCAATCCTACGGCCGCAACAGCACAGCTGGAGCTGGGGGGAGCTTGTGAAGGGAACTAAGCCAAGCACGCAGAGACGGGGGCTGTGAGCTTCCTCACAGGAACAGGTTATGTCAGAGAGGGAAGTGCTGCGTTGCCAGAGCCGGGCGGGAAGGAATGGGAGTTACATCTCACAGAAAAGGGTAACACTCGCATCAGTACGGATCATACCCAGCCAGTAGTCTAATCATCCCTAGGTTGTTCTTACTCACGGGTTAGAAATAACTTTCAGATTCTTTGCCTTTATCTCGTTGACTGACAATCTGGACAAGCTGGAGAATTTTGCACCCAAAAAAATAGGTAAATGTTTTTGTGACTTATCCCAAAGAAATTGGAATTGTGGTCCAAAATTATTCTAGAGATATCTTTCTTTAAGGACTTTTGCATAGTAAAACAGTGTAACAGAAATCATCCTGCAAGCAGCTAGTAAATAGAAACATGGCCTGTTCCTCTGAAACATAAAGTGTTCCAGAGAAAACCCCTTGCTTCCCCTGGACGTGATGATGAATTCGTGCTCTGTGTTTAGCGGAGGCTCAGCAATGCAGCAGGCAGCGAGAGTGTCAGAGTTCCCTGTGTTGGCACTGCCCAGCCTGAGCAGGCACTGAACAAGCCACTACATGACAGTGGAACGCAAAATGGTGCAGCTTTCTGGGCGAGGGTGGGTCACTGCTGAGCCAGGGTCCCATGGGTGCAGCCCGCAGACGCCAGGGCTGAGGCTGCAGTGGAGGTGAAAGGCAGAGAAAATCCCCCTTTGTGTTCTCTAGCTTTCCACACAACTTCCCGTTTTCTCTTATGCAAATGCTCTTTACCCAGCAGCCCAGCACCGTGAGCACAGATGTGCGGAGTGCACTCTATTTGCAAACGTGTGCCCTGTCGGCAGGTGGGCTGGACGCGTGCCGGACGTGCGCCAGGCGTGCTCTGCTGCTCCTGTCTGAAGGTCTGAGCGTGTGCATCTGCCTTTCAGGTACCCGGGTGTCCTTCCTGACGTCCAAGAGGAGAGAGGCATCAAGTACAGATTTGAAGTATACGAGAAGAATGACTAACACGAGGGTGCTTCCGGGCTGATTTCAACTTCTAAAAGGTTATGGATTTGAACATCAGAAAACCAGCGAAACAAGATTATTTGTGTTGACTCTAGATCTGTGGAGAATTATTTCTGAGTAGTGTGTTTTTAATTCCCTACTGACCTAAACTAGACTATTTGGGGCCCGTGTAGGGGATGTTTCACGCCTGCCTGCACAGGGTCCCCCCGAGCTTGAGTTGCCCCAGGGACCCTCGACATGGGATCCAGATGCAAGAGTCCAGTGGGCCAAAAGACATTGTAAAGGGAAGAGCCACAAGTCAGATTTTACAAGAAAACCGGACAGAAATGGGAGCTGTGGGTTCCTCTGTCCCTCGTCCTCAGACAGGGAGTCCGTGAGCTGAGACCGGCATCGGGCTCCATAGGGGAGGCAAGAGCTGTTTGGCCTTTTTGATGGTTAAGAGAAGGAAAGGCGTGGGGCCTTCCAGATGGCTGTTTCTGATCTTCAGGGGATAGAACAAGAACTGGCTGCTCTCTCCAAGAAAAAGCAACTAAATAACATGCCTAAGAGCTAGAATTAAAAATTCAAAGAAAGGTAATGAGAATGGCCATCTTGAGACAAACTTGAAAATGAAAATTGTGTTTTTCTCTCACATTAACAAAATTTCAGGAGCTCCAGGATGTAGAGAGACCTCACTTTCTGGGTCTGGCTTTTAGTGCAGTGCGTAAAACCACCACTTTGCATTCCGTATCAGCACACCAGCTCAAGTCCCAGCTGCTCCACTTCTCATCCCTGCTCGTGCAGCTGCAAAGGCAGCAGAGGGCGGCCACAAGTGCTCGGACCCCTGGCCCCCTTGTGGGAGACCCAGATGGCATCTCACTTGAGCCTGGCCCACCCTGGCTTTTGTGGCCATCTGGGGAATGAATTAGAGATGGAAGATCTCTCCTCTCTGCCTTTCCCCACCCCGTCTCTCTTGCTCTACCTTTCAGATAAACAAATCCATACTTTTTAGAAGAAACCGCATTTTGCCCCTTGTAAATTGATGCGACCTTTTAGCCTGGGAGACAGCAGTATCAGTCTGATTTCAGGAAGTGAATCCTGAATGAAGAGAGGGATCTACAAACTCTAGCAGCTTTTTTTTTTAACATGGAAATATCCAAATGTCAATCAGTAAAGCAATGACTCACTCACGTGTCTGCCTTTTGATCTGCAGCAGTTAACAGCGATGTGCTAACAAATGCCAAAGGCTGCTGAGCAAAAGGAAGAAATTCCATAGAATTCCATAGACCATGCAGCTTTTCATTAACGTATGCAGTCAGACTATGCTGCAAACTTAACAGTGTCAGAGTTGCCAAGTATTAAATTGAGTCTCTGAACCATCTGGTGTTTAGTTTATGGGAAATTGTTCAAGATGATACACTGACCCCTTATGTTCAGCAAGAAAATAACATCAGAATGACAAGAAATCTAAAATCTTTGACAAAGGGGAGAAACGTACAGAAAGATGAGCGTGATGCGGTGTGTTAAGCCACCACCTGAGATGCCGGAAACCCATATGAGTGCTGGCTCAGATCCCAGCTGCTCCACTTCCAGCCCAGCACTCCCATCCTCTAGACTAAACCCTACCCATGGGGCCAGTGGCGTGGCGCAGTAGGGGAAGCCACCACCTGCAGCCCCGGCATCCCATATCAAAGTGCAGGTTCAAGTCCTGGCTGCTCTACTTCCTATCCTGCTCCCTGGCCTGTGCACCAGGGAGACAGCAGATGGTCCAAGTACTTGGGCCCCTGCCCCCCATGTGGGAGACCCAGTCTTTATGGTCATCGGGGCAGTGAACCAGTATGTGGAAGATCTTTCTCTGTCCTTCCCTGCCAGTCTTTCAAATAAATAAAACTTTTTAAAACAACAGATGCCACCTGTTACTCCTTAAAGTCCTTCTCAGATTCCAGGACCTCTTCCCAAACCCTTCCCTCTCCCACTCTGACCCACCCAGTGCTGCCTGTCCCCCCACAGTCCCCCCTCAGGGCTGCTCACTGCCTGCCTCAGGACCCCTCAGTGCTGTCCCCCCTCAGGGCTGCTCACTGCCTGCCTCGGGACCCCTCAGTGCTGTCCCCCCTCAGAGCTGCTCACTGCCTGCCTCGGGACCCTTCAGAGCTGCTCACCATCCCACTGCCTGTCTTAGGATTGTTTTCAGTTGCTCATACTGGAAAACCCAGTTTACAATGGCTGAAGCAAACTTAGGTTTTCCTGGCTCTGATTCACGCGGGTTCCCCACCTCAAAGACACAAGATGGCTGCTACTGCTCCAAAAATCAAGTTCATGCTCACAGCAACAGAAAGCAGTGTCAGGCACATAGCACCCTTTGGTGCAGAAAGCAGCACTTGCTCCGAATCCTCCTCTACCAGCAAAGTCTCCCTTGGTACACAGGGACCAGAGCAGCAGCACGTGGGCTGTGACCCTGCTGCCCTGGGAACATACTGAGATATAAGGCCCAGCAGAAGGAAGGCCGCAGAAAGAGTTGGATGAATCCACTACTGCACAGGCCATCATTCATAAGGCAGAAGTGAGGCTTGGGGAGCCACTGGACAGTGGATCCTACCCCCTGAGCCAGTAGCAGGAGGTCCAGACAGCAGCTGGCCAGAGCATACCCAGACTTTGTCAAGAAATGGTCAGGTGCCAGGCAGGTGTCATGTGGAGGACTACCATGAGATATGCTGATTCCAACGGTTTTAGGAGAAGCTTCAGGGTCGCCTAGCAGGCGAGATGCAGGTTATAACTAAGATGATGGCGGTTGGGGCCAGCCTTGTGGTGTAGCAAGTTAAGCCACGGTTACAGTGGGATCATATGGGCACCAGCTCAAAACCTAGCTGGTCCACTTTCTTTTTTCTTAAGATTTATTTATTTTTATTGGAAAGGCAGATATACAGAGAGCAGGAGAGACAGAAATATCTTCCGTCCATTGATTCACTCCCCAAGTGGCAGCAATGGTCGGAGCTGCACAGATCCAAAGCCAGTCACCAGGAACTTCTTCCGGATCTCCCGTGCTGGTGCAGGGTTCCAAGGCTTTGGGCCATCCTCAACTGCTTTCCCAGGCCACAAGCAGGAAGTTGGATGGGAAGCAGGGCCGCTGGTATTAGAACTGGCACCCATATGGAATCCTGGCATGTTCAAAGCGGGGACTTTAGCCACTAGGCTACTGTGCCAGGCCCTGCTCCACTTTCAATCCAGCTCCCTGCTAACGTGCCCAGGAAAGCAACAGAATATTGCCCAAGTGCTTGGGCCCCTGCACCCAAGAGGTAGACCCAGAAGAAGCTGGCCCAGACCCAGCCATTGTTGGGAATGAAGCAGTGGATGGAAGCACTCTATCTCTCCCTCTGTCTTCTGAAATTCTGCCTTTCAAATATACATACAAATCTTAAAAAAAAAAAAAATGACAGCAATGAAATCAAGCCAGGTCCCACAAACAGAGCATGGCCTTGGTACCATGTGCCTTCATGTCCAGTGCTGGCTGCACCCTAGACCCACTGCAAGGGGCTCTGTGGCAGGAAGGCAGGCCCCGCCCCAGGAGTCTGAGCTAACAGAGACAGCAGAGCTGCTGAGTACTTGCTTCAAATCAGTTGATGGAGTTTTTGGCTTGTGGCTTAGGCCAAACCTGCCCCAGCTGTTACAGCTGTTTGGAGAATGAACCAGTAGGTGGAAATTTTTTTTTTAAGTTTATTCTTTATTGAAAGGGTAACTCAGATTTACGGAGAGGAGAGAAAGAAATATTTTCCTTCCACTGATTTACTTCCCAAATGGCTGCAATGGCCAGAGCTGAGCCAATCAAAAAACAGGAGCTTCTTTTGGGTTTCCCATGTGGGTGCAAGGTCCCAAGACTTTGGGTCATCCTCTGCTGCTTTCCCAGGCCACAAGCAGAAAGCTGGTTGGGAAGTGGAACAGCCGGGACACAAACCAGTGCCCATGTGGAATCCCGGTGCTGACTAGGTGAGGATTTAGCCATTGAGCTAATAAACTGGACCCAGACAAAATCTTTCTGTCTTGCCTTTCTGTAAATCTGCCTCTCAAATAAAATTTTTAAAGATTTTTTTTTAGAAAGACAAATTTACAAAGGAAAGGAGAGACAGAAAGATCTTCCATCCACTAGTTCACTCCCCAAATGGCCGCAACAGCCAGCATTGAGTTGATCCAAAGCCAGGAGTCAGGAGTTTCTTCCAGGTCTCCCACATGGGTGCAAGGTCCCAAGGCTCTGGGCCATCCTCGACTGCTTTCCCAGGCCACAAGCAGGGAGCTGGATGGGATGTTGAGCAGCCTGGACTTGAATCAGTTCCCCTATACAATGTCAACAGGCAGAGAATTAGCCAATTGTGCCATCATGCCACCCCTTTAAGTAAATCTTTTTTTTTAATTCACATTTAATTTCTATCACATATTCAATCTCATGATAATAAATTCTATGTGACCCCTACTTTGGTAGTTGATGAGGCATTTCACTGTGTCAGCCACAATATTATAAATTCAGTTCCCTGGGGTATCTTTAAAGTGCAAAGTGATGCTAGTCCCCCACTGTGTCAGCTCAGTCCTTGTTAGCTGCCTTAGCAGATAAACTGCAGATCTCAGCATGTTGCCATAGCTCCAGTTTATTTATTTCTTGTTTGTTTGGATCCCATCAGTGGGGAGCTCCAGGTGGCGACAGTGCCAGACTCCTTATTTAGGGGTTCTCTTCTGCAATGGAGTCTCCAGGTTGGTGCAAAGGAGAAAAGCACATGAAGACCACATGGGGCTGCGAGGTCACATGCCCCACGTTCGCCACATTCCACTTTGTCATCTAGCCCCCAGGGGCAAGGAGGCCGAGAAATGCAGTGTCACCGTAACCAGGTTTGGGCAGTGGTTAGCCGAGAGTCACCAGCGTGCCAACTTGACTTCTTCAACTGCTCAACATTTAGGATCCTTGTTCTGGGATGAGGACACTGGGTGGAAGGCTTGCCAACACACCTTGCTTCTAGTGACCACTCGTCCGGGATGTCCAAGACCAGGGTGCTCACGGGGCGAATGCTCAGTTCTTCTCTGACAAGGCGAGCAGTTCAGCGGTGTCCAGGCCGGCTGAGGAACACACGCAGT